TGTTCAGAGGAACCAGATAGTCGATTGACACTACAAGACAATCGATTAACAAGAACTTGCTCGGAACTGGGTACTTTCTGAAGGTAAGGATAATCGAGTATCAATTTGTTGACAATCGATTGTGTGAAGTTATGGGTTTTGCGAAGAAGAATCAGAGGACTACAATAGTCGATTACCAATTAAGGATAATCGATTATTTAGGGATTCAGGATCAGGATTGGAAGAAAAGAGGGGAAATGTTTTTGTGGTTTTGTTGTATAAGGATAAACCAAATAATATGTAAGAGATAAACACACTCTTAATATATTTGGGGCTATTATCTATTTCATACAATAATAATCACTATTAAAGTATTAAATAGACTCCTAACACACACTCAAAAGTGGCCAACTTTTAGAGATATTTCATTAGGAAATGGATTGAACTAGCTTCACACCAATTCAGGGAATACTTCAAGAGTAATATCAATAATGAGAATGAGATGTGTTTACAAGGCCTCATGGCCGAAATATATATAAGGCAAAACAAGGGAAATTACACTTCACTTTCCTACAAATCATGTGATTAATATCCATGTATTATTAATCTTAGTGGGCAGCACTCATTGACCAGGAAAAGGAGGTTAAAAGGCTGTGATTTTGGCATAGTATGGTTCATTAATTCCTGCCATGTGAAAAGGGAATCAAGGAAAGTTGTAACTTTGACAATTAAGGATAATATGACAAAGTTTGCACTATTTAATCAATGGTTTTGGTTCCTTGATGTTTTTATCTCTATCCTTGGTAAATGGGGTTGTGTTTATGGATATTTGGGGTGGGAAATTCGGCCATATGCTGAAGGATATGAAGGGGATTGGGTTTTGAACAACGGGACAAAATCAGCACTATTCAATCAAGGAAAACTTTTTCCTGATTTTGTTTTTGTTTTGTGATTTGAATTTTGTCTTGATTAAAACATAATGTGGCCTGATATTTGGGTAAAAGAGTTGGGAAAATTCGTGGGTTTGGTGTAGGGAATAGAAAGGAAGGTTTTATTTTAATTAAAAGGAACAAAAGAAGTAGAAACAATAAACAAGGTTTTATCTTTTGGACCTCATTTTCGTCCAGGGCTAAAAAGGAGGGAAAAGACTTTATTTTGATCATGAAATGGAGATAAAAGACTTTTGGATATTTTGGGAAGGGTATGGAATGTCTTGGTATCAAGAAAGGCTTTGGAAAAGAAGGGTTATGGTTTGGGTTTTAGGATAAGAAAGATTAATGAGTTCAGCCCAAAAAGGATCATAACACTTAGATATTAACCATTTGATTTGTTTTATGGTGTGTGGTGTAGCCTCAATGTTGGTAGGAGCATCCCGGGGTACATCACACATCACCTTATGCCCGGCTGAACGATGCTTTCATTATGACAGAAATGTATACTTATAGGTTGCGCGATGTAATTACTCCTATCAAAAACCTTGAATTCAACTGCCTCTCTCTCCCCTATCTATTGAATACTTCAAAACTCGAATGCTTGTGTATGTATTGGTTGTTAGGCGATAATTAATTCTAATTTTGATATGAAGGCACCACTTTCTTTCAAATCAGAAATTTCTAAGTGCCAACCACTCCACACATAATAGTCTCCCCTCGTGGGAGGTCTTGAGTTTCAGTCATCATGGTGGTAAGATGGGGACTTTTCCCATCAAGGAACCTCTAGCCTGCTGGTACAAGCTCTTTGGTTGGAGTACTGGGAATCAGAGGTGAACTTTATGCTGATTATTGGCCCGGCGAGCAAAAATAATTTGAAGCTGAGAAATGAAATATGAGGAGACCAATTTGTATGAGATGACTCCGTGTGTGCAGAATTCTTTATACTACAAACTTGAGGGATGAAAGAGTTCCGGACATCTAGGATTCTAGCGGTGGAGCCTTTGATGCTTAGGATTAGTCCGGTGCAAGTCAGGAAACCCAATGTATTGAAAAAGAAATCTCACACTAACCAACCAACTCTTATTTTTGTGTTTTCCTGACCCTGAGTTCTGGCCAATTACACAGTTCCATCTTTTTATTAATTCTTTCACAGGGAGGATATCCACTATGTTTCCCCTTGGACTTATGCAATTTCTGGCTGTCTTTGCTCATTTTACTTTCCTCTTTTCTTTTTCTTTATTACCCACTTGTTTTGACATCCACCTACGTACACCTACCCGGCTACCCCAGATCCCATTAGTGTGTCTACGCTCTAGATTGGGCTGGTTGTTAATGTTATTACCCGCTTGTTTTGAACAGATGTGAGTATATGTCTAGACCTGCCAAATTTTGACCTTACCCAAAATATACTAGTTTCTGAACAATAATTTTGGGACCCGAACCCCAGAATGACCTGCCAGATATGGGTCAAACCTGACCAGACCAAGTGGCTAACCCCTTTAGGCAAGTTTTCTTCCCCAAATGATGTGCTTTAATATAAAATGTGAAACATCAAAAACTACTCACTCTTTCCCATTGTTTTTGTCCGCCATATTTGTGTGGGTCTTATTCATTCTTACTTAATCGCACTTTTTAACATCAATGTTCACACAATCTTATTTTTTTACATTTTCACGCAAGTGCCTCATGTCCCTAAAGTAGTGAGACCGAGGGAGTACATTATCATATTTTTATCCCTAAGATCTCTCTGCACTTACTTTGGCTATTTACTTGTCCAGTAGCAAAATGCTCAGCAGTTCTGTAGGCATGGTCATAAGATTAGAATCCTGTAGGTGATGCCAGTGAATGGAAGGTTGAATGGTCTTAGATATTTCCAATGATGGCTGTTCCTTGGTAGGCCGATCAGTTTTATATATTATCAAAGCTAACACTACTTGTAGTCTTCCCAAGTGCATTTAAGGAAATATGTTGCCAGGTATTTGCAACCCACATAGTGTGGTCATATCCATTGAAACTTTGGAGTCCACTAGGTGTGGTCTTTGCAAAACCACCGAATATGTTGCTAGATTTAACTGTCCATTAAGAGGATATCATTTGTCATAAATAATTGTCCATTTAGAAACTCAATACAACAAATGTAGTGAAACGACTTATTCGTCCTGCTCCTTGAGGATTAGACTGAGAGTATTATAAGAAATCACCCAAAATAGGAGCAAAACATAGCTCTTATGCCAAAATAGGAGTGACATGTTTCCCAAGATAGGACTGTTGCACTATGACTATGTGGCACTGCATATTGGCATTCGGTTGTGCTTTTTGGTATTATATGTTGGCATTCTAGGTCTTATTTTGGGTATAAAAACATGAAGGTCTTATTTTGGTTCTTTATCTATGTTTCACTCCCCAGATCCTACTCTCGTGGGATCCAACTGGGTTGTTGTTGTTGTTGTTGTGTTATTAGCCTTTTCAATAAAGAATTTTGGAAAACAAATGGTCAGTAGGTGTCTTTACTAAGTGTCTCTTGCTCTGCCTTCCAACTTTTCATTTTTCCCATTCAATTGCAAACACAGAAAGAGAGATGCAAACATACTTCGTACTCCATAGTAATTATAAAATGGATATTTTTGGTGGTTTAAGAAAAATTTAATGCTTTCTTAAAACGTGATTTATAGAGACAGATAAACCTTAAAGGACGGAGCATGGATTAGGAAGCTGTCTACTTCCGTGTAGAGGAAGGGTCAGACCAATTGATAGAAACTAAAGAAGTTCAACAAAATAAAGCAATTTATTAAATAAAAAGAAACAAATCGACAATGAAAGAGTTTCAAAGAAACACTCCCAGAGCATTGAAGCCTTGAAGGAATCCCTCTACCCCCTTTCGAAAGTACATACTCCCCCAGCCAATGCCTGATTATTTTCTCCTATGTTCCCAATCCCTTTTGGCCTTTCTTCTAAAGAGGAGGCAATTTATACGACAATGTTTCATTAATGAGTACAGATTCATTAAATCTTGTCCCTAACTCTATCAATCCCAAGTCAGTTTTTACTCAACTTGATTAGGTCCTTTCCTTTCTCATAATTTCATTATTTAAACATCTGATGTAAATTTCCAATGGAGCTAAAAGCAAGGTTTTGAAAGGTGAAATTGGTCCTCGAGGCATGAAAAGCTTTAAGCCTCAATTTAATTTAAATAAAATAATACAAGAAAATACATAATTCATACGGTGAAAAAGAGTAGTACTCTTACTGCATTGTTAAATTATTATATGTAATATAACATTAAAAATAAATTTCGAAAAATGTAACAAACAAAACCAAACAATGATAAACAACCACAAACTATTATTACCAAATACCAATAAGACAATAAGTAATAGACTAATTGTATAATTCTCCAATATAAACAGCTACAAACTAATTCTGAATTAAAGAATAGATTAAATATAGAGGGTGGCCTTTAAGAACTTTCATAAAATTATGATAAAAGGTCAAGGCTTTAGCCTTGCGCCTTGGTCAATTTTTACGACAGTATAGCTTCGCGTAAATAATATATTAGCTTGAAATGACGCATTAAACTTCTTTGTATTTTACAGGAGTAAGGTTGCGTACATGTGTACATCTTGACCCCAGACTTGAACATAGTTGAGATTGCACTGACTTTTTTTGTTGTTAATTGGCTTCCCTATATGTCTCATAATTCATAGGTTTAGCATATGAAGCAATGAAGTCTAGTACCATAAAGATGGTCTTTGTATGTTTCCAGTCCAGATGCCCTTTATCTCTGAAGAGACAGTAGTTTATGTTTAGTCATTCATATTTGGTTATTTGAAAAGTTTACCCAAGATGTGCCTTTTCTAATGTGAAGTACTTATGATGCTAAATAAATTGACTAATATGAAATCTTAGCTGATCTAATTTTTTTAGAATCCCTATAAATTCGCCAAAAATTTTAATTTGTGACTTAGCTCGATCAAATTTGAAAACTGAAAATTGCGTGAATTGGCTGTTTTTTCACAAATTTGATTGCAGATATTAAGTTATCCTGTAGCCAGTGATCTTAATGAAAAACTGACACCTGCTGGATCCCAGGTATATCCATGGAGGGTGATGACATACTGTTAGCAGAAATGGATGTAAAAGCAGCACCCAAAAGAGATGAATGGATGACAACACTGCCTCCCGAAAGAAAAGTAAGGTCTATTCCTACTTATCTCATTTTTTGAATGAAGTTAAGAAGATTGTGATGGATAAGAGAGGCATCGCATAACCAGTTTTATCTGAGTGAATTTAGATTTTTACAACACACACAGTCACGCACACGCACAAACAGAGACTCCCTCCTTCCCTTAATAAACTTTACAATTTCCATTTCAGATATCCTAAATAAAGTTTACACTTTTTCCCATTTCCTTTTCTGAAAAGAAATATGTGGTTCACAATATATCTTCTTCACTAACTCTAACCACTTTTCACTTTTCAATATTTTTCTCGAACTCTGTGAAATCAATTTGTCAACTTTATAATGGGCGGAGGGTGTATATATACGTATATGAAAAGATCATAGAACATCGATGTGAAAAGCGCAGGCCATGATGCCTAGCTACATGTGAGGCAAGCTCTATTAAAGAGGCCCACACCTAGATGTGCATTGCCGCCTTATGCGGATACATCGAAGCGCAGATGAGGTGTGCTTTAGCCTTCAGGTATAATGACTATTTTGTAAGAAAAATCCAAACATGACCTTTCTAGGATTAGATACACAGACTGAACGTTGTATTTTTATTTCACCTTAGTGGGATGCAAAAAGCAGGGTAATTTATAAAATTTCTTTTTACGACATCAATTTGTGCTTGTTTTTTGTTTAAAATTCATCAACTATTGCACAACACGTTTTGTAGTTTCACTTTTTTACACTGTTTTTGAAAGTTTCAGCTGCAGCAAGGCTGTTAGTTTTTTATGCTATTACGGTTACCATTCATTGTAGTTTAATTATTAGGAGAAAGGCTTGAGCTAGTTTGTTTTTTAGAGGTTTTTGTTTATACTCAACACTCATTACCGGCTATCCAAATCGAATTTCTTTAGAAGTTTTTTAATATAACCACATTAGTAGTGTGTATTCTACCCATTATTGTATTTGATCAATCATTTCATATTGTTTTAGTTCCATGATTGTTACGTCGTCGACTATGCATTAGGTCGCCGGGGACAACCGGCGGCGGAGAATGGAGTAAACAACACATCACCCCGATAGTTCAGATATCAAAAACCTTAACCTATGGCTATCGTCACTATTGTGAGGTTGATCCACCACCGCTGCCGCTAGAGTGAATTTGATCTGCCGCCGCCGTCATTCGTTGCTGCCGGTGTCCTGTTTATTAAGCTTAGACTTTCGTAGTTTTGTTTTGTTCCTTTGGACTTTCCATATTTTTTATCTTTGCATTTTTATTTGCTTTATTTTGCTTCTTTGTTTTACCTTTTTTGTAGTGAGGGTGGGGGTTGGGAGTGGGCCTAGGGACGAGTCTTTTACTCTATTTGGGTTTGTTTTTCTTTTTATTATACTCTAATTAATAGAATTGTAAAACTCTTTTGAATACTCTTTCTTATCTTCCAGTTTTATCTTTTTAGTTTTTGCTTTCCTTTTAAGACGGTCTCTAAAAAAGTTTCTATATGCTTCTAGATTTTTGTCTCTAAATAAGGTTTATATATTCTTCTAGGTTTTTTTTCCTTTTATTCTATTATTTCTGTAACTAAATTTTGTTCTAACACTCATTACTTCTTTATCTTAGTATTTCTTCACCTAAATTATGTGTTGGGCATTACACTAATTGATTAGTCATGCTGGCAACTCGACTTGTTGACGTGACAACCATGTTTAGTACATTAGGTTTCATTCATAACGTGGGCTGCGTTTTGGTATGTGGATGAACTGTTAGCAATATTAATACAGAATGTATGCATTAATCTTATAATACTATTCCCCATGATTAGTTTTGATCTTTTGAAACGAAATTTTCTATTTCATTTTCTTCTTAAGCCTGGTGGGATGACAATGCATTCGACAACGTTTAGCAAGAATTCCAAGGAGGGGCGTGGTGATACTAGTGCCTGGACAGACACTCCTTCTGAGAGAGCACTGAAAGCCAAGATGAAGTGAGCTTAATTAATTACTATTATGTTATATTCTATCTAGTCTAAAGATGATATTTTTTATTTATATATATAAAAAAAATTGTCCTCACTATATATACACTATTTAAAAATTGCAGTTATCTAGAAGCGTACAATGAGGCGGCTGCACTTGCCTCAAAAGAAGAGGGCATTAAAAGGGGAAGCGCAGATGCTGAGCTTGTGGACCAGTACAACAAGGCGAAACGGTCAAAATCTTTGGTCGAAAAGCATATTCACGAACAGGCTGCTCAGAGCAAGTCCAAGAAAAAAGCAAAAAAGCATGAGGCGGGGGAGAAAGAGGAGTGGGAAGGAAACCACCCCTGGAGGCCGTGGGATCGCGAAAAGGACCTCACTGCCGGAAGGCAAAGCGTCAAGCTTGATGCCGAGAACATGGCTCAGGGTTTGACTTCCAGGTTTTCTTCTCCCTCTTTCCAGAGGAACTTCCTTTAGACTCAAGAAGGGCCAGGTACCTTTTTGTTTTTCTCAACCTGTGTTCATCTAGGTTTTAACATACATACTTAACACATGTTTCCACTGAAGGGTGGATTGATAAATATTTATGTCCATTTCAAGTTTCAACCCGCTGCCATCGTTATGAAATAAGTAGTATTAGTTTGAGATCAGTTATGAAATATTCCTTTATGTGCCATTGAGATTTTAAGACTTGTGTACTCCCATTATGAAACTTATTATCACTATTATATATTGTGTTTACTTTCAAGTCACAACTAGATATATAACACCCACTCCAATACATAGATAAATTATCATGTAGGAACTATCTGTTCTTTAAAATGTCATATTTTAATGACTAAATGCCTTTGTCAGATTTTTCTTTTTGAGTTTTGACCAAGATTAGGGCCCTGTTTTTTTTGGGTTAGAATATCAGAATTGGATGTAGGAAGAAACTGGAAGGAGTTAGAAAATGTTAAAGGAATTAACAACAACAACAACAACCCAGTTAAATCCCACAAGAGTAGGGTCTGGGGAGGGTGTGTGTACGCAGATCTTGCCCCTACTCGAAAGTAGAGAGGCTGTTTCCAAAGAGACCCCCGGCTCAACGTCGAAAGTTGCATTGCTTGACTAACTGCTACTTCATTAATTAAAGAAGCGCAAATAGTTTAGATATCCATTTTGATTTATTCCATCACACCCCAAAGCCAAAAACAGGTGAAATTTTGGCTCCATCGGAGATGATGGAAAATGTTAAAGGAATTAAGAAAACCTAATTTTGGATAAAAGAGAATTCATTCTTGTCCGTACTTGAGGTGATAATTTATAAATTTAGATATGTAGTGTTATTGTATAATTATTATATATAAATTTATTTTTTAAGTTGATGTTGGAAGAAAATGGAAAAAATAGGGCCTAACACGTAATCTAGATTGGCCTCTATGGTCTGGTCTGATTTAATGTGACCAAAACCATCAAAGCTTAGAACAGGGCAACGGAATCACCTCAAAGCTTAAAACGAATGGAAACGGCATTATAAGATATTCCCAATTTATTTTAGAAAACAAATCACATCGTTAGTTACATTCTTTTACAATTTTGTGTGCCACAACTTTAGATCCACACCCCAGATCCAATTGTAAATAATAATAATGGATTCTCATTGTATATCCGCATTTTTTTAAATACTCCGTACGTTTCAAAGTATTAATCTTCTTGATTAGATTTGGCAGAAACCTTAAAAATAATGATGAGAGTGATGCGAAGAAGAAAAATTTTGAGGAGCCAAAAAAAAAATTTGTATTAATTTATCAGTATTAAAATCCTTTTATAAATGAGACAAGACAAAAACAGTAATTACTTTTTATCGTAATAAATTCCCTTTAAATTTTCACAATTATATTTCGGGATAAGTTTTAGGTGCAGATAAGGGTGTTTTGCAATGCAAACAACTCTCTTGAGGCCAAGAGAAGACAAATTCAGAGCAAATGCCTACTGCCGGGATGAAGCCACACAATGCGCTGGAACTTGCTTGATCTATGTCTTTCTAGCAAAGAATTTCTACCAGTTAAAAAAGATTATACTCTCTCCGTCCCAAAAAATTGGGACAGTTGACCAAAGTGGCAAATTAAGGAATTCTTTTTTGGCCTTTGGCCTTCCCAAAATACTCTCAAAAGCAAAAGTAGTAGGGGGCACCCTCAAAAAAGTGAATAGTGTGTAATAACATTAAAATAAGAATAAGAATAAGCTAGGGGTACACCAACATGGGGTACCCCAAGTGTACACCAAGCCAACACAGACACACACAGACACAAAGTGTCTGTGTTGCACAGACATTTGGTGTCTGTGTGTGTCTGTGTTGGCTTGGTGTCCACTTGGGGTACCCCATGTTGGTGCACCCCTAGCATTGCCCTAAGAATAAAGTACAAATGCAAGTACAATTGCATTAAATGAGTTGTGATACACATTGATGTTTACACGATATAGCTGCCAGGCCATAAACAACCAAAAACTTTTGAGTTTTATGGGAAATTAGTTTCCCTCCATACCAATCCCTCCAAAACCCCCCCAAAAAAAACAGAATAGCAGGCTTCTATTTAAGGCATTCATTGAATGCCAAACATTTAAAACTCTTTCTTTTTTAGTCTTCCTTTCCAGCATGGCAGAATCCCCCATGGTGTCATCCCCCACTTTTAGTGTACCCCGAATGTCCTCCACCCCCTCCTTGTCCACAAAAAAAGGCAGGAAAATTCAAAAAAATAAGTAAAATAAAAATTAAATAAAAATGAATGGTTATGGAGAGGGTGGGGGACATTGCATCTCCCAATTCCATTCCCTTTTCAAAAGAAGAATCACCTTCCGTTAAGCATCTTCCTCCTCTAATTTAGGTACCTTTTTCCAGCTTTAGCACTCCTGGAACAGAGACAAAAATGAACATCAAAGGTGTGCTACAAAATCAAACTAGAAAAAAGGTTGCTGACTTTTTACTACAACATGTAAGAGGTGGCAAACTTCAGCATGGTAGCATCAATAAAGTTGTTGATGAATTCAGCATATGCAGGAAAACAGTAAGCAGAATCTGGTCCATAGCTAAAACTCAATTGGATGTTGGTCAACCCATTGATGTTCAATGTAAGTGGAAAGGAAAGTGTGGGAGAAAAAGAACATTATTGAGACAGAAAAGATGGCAGATGTGCCTTTTAATAGGCGAAAAATATGTGTGGACTTGGATATGCTATGGAGGTCTCAAAATCAACTATCCATAGATGGCTTCAGTGAGAAGAGATCATGAGGCATTCCAATGCCATTAAGCCACTTCTAAGTGAAGAAGGTAAGCTTAAAAGGGTTAAATTCTGTGTGGAGCATGTTGTTACCCAATCAATCCCCATGAACCCAACCTTTCATGACTTTTATGATCACATTCATATTGATGAAAAGTGGTTTGAGATCAACAAAAAGAGCTCAAAATTTTATGCATTACCAACTGAAGCAGACTCGTATAGGACAAATCAAAACAAAAGTTTCATACCCAAAATCATGTTTTTAGCAGCTGTTGGTAGGCCAAGGTATGGGGAGAATGGGGAACTTACTTATGGATGGGAAAATAGGCATATTCCCTTTCACTTACTTAGCAGAAGCTCAAAGGGCCATTAAAAATAGACTTGCAGGGACTATGGAAGTGAAACCTATCCCTAACATCACTAGAGAGGTCATGCTAAGGATGTTACTTACTAAGGTACTGCCTGCAATAAAGGGAAAATGGCCCCGGGATCCAGGAATATTATTACCAACAAGATACTGCAAAACCACATGTGGATGGAAATGTCCCTCAATTTGTTCAAGCAGCTGAAGAAGGAGAGTGGAACATTAAACTTAAATTCCAACCTCCCAATAGCCTAGATCTTAATGTACTTGATCTTGGATTCTTTAGGGCCATTGGTTCATTGCAGGACCAATCAGCTCCCACGTCATTCGAAGACTTGATTAATGCTGTAACAACAGCATTTGAAGAAGTATCACATGAAAAGCTGAATCATATGTTCTTAACCTTACAAGGGGTCATGGGTCAGGTTCTAGATACCAATGGAGGGAACCAGTTCAAAATCCCTCACATTGGGAAAACCAAACTGGCAAGAGAAGGTAGACTGCCACAGAACTTAGGGGTCAGTATTGAAGTCTTTAAGAAGGCACAAACATTCTTACAAGAAAGGATGTGAGTACTCTTCTTTTTGGAACTTTTTTTGGCATATGCAAACATGGTCATTGGAAAGCACAATGCCTAAATGCACTTCCAATTGAAAACCTTTTTGCAACTTTTTTGTAAGCCAAAGAAGAAGAAGTGTAGTATCTAACTGACATAGACTTAAGGCTTGTATCTATTGTGTAGCATTTGTTTTATCAAGCTCAAGTATGACTCTTTTTGTAGCATCTGTTTTATGAAACTCAAGTAAGACCAGTGTAGCATCTGTTTTATCAAGTTCAAATATGATTCTTGTGTAGCATCTGTTTTATGAAATTCAAGTAAGAGTAGTATAGCATCTGTTTTATCAAGTTCAAGTATGAATCTTGTGTAGCATATGTTTTACCCTACAACATCTGTCTTATCAAATTGAAGGTCATATAACCTAACACAGAACAAGGGTTGACCAAACGCAAAGACCAATTGAGTATTGTAAGTCTCTAACCTATACAGAGTGACATTACAATATTGCTTAAACACAAATAAAGCTCACATATATGCAATGAGTAAGAAAATTGTACTTTCGCATCATAAGTTTGCCAATGAACACAGAAGAGGGACATTCAAATAGCATGTGTAATGTTAATTAAAGGAGCAGAGAGAGAATACGATGTCTAAAGCGTTGTCCCTTAGCCTCATCTCCAAGGGGCTGAGCAAAAAAAATTTCAGTATCAGACATCTCTAGGATGCGCTCAGACGTAACAGATTCTTCATCCTCCCCGTCCTTTTCCTCAGATCTTTCTTTATCCTCTGACGGGAAATGGTCTCCCCCAAGAAACTTTTTACGGTACCACTAGGTTGGATCCATATCTAAAGTTCCAGATCCACTATTTGTCATATTTAGGGATGCGATGCTTCAGAGAAGTTCTGCTTCGCGTAGGATTAGGCGTTTCCTCATCCGTATCGCTTAATAGCTTGAAGCTTGGCATCGTAGGGTCACAAATCACCATTACTGGTGATTCGAATTCGATGTAGGAGAGTGGAAAAGATATCAAAAGATAGATCGGAAGAGAGGAAGTGGCGGCGACATGGAAGAGGTAGGGAGAGAGAAGTATTTTGATAAGGACGATGGGATAGACAGGCTGGATTGGAAAAAGTGGGGTTGGGTGGGAATAAATTAGGGTTAAGGGTAAATGGGTCTTTTTTTGGCAAATGGGACGGACTTTAATTTAAGGGGCGCAAATTTTCGAAACGGGACTGACTTTATGGGCGGAGGGAGTATTATTATTATTATTATTATTATTATTATTATTATTATTATTATTATTATTATTATTATTATTATTATTATTATTATTATTATTATTTATTGCTTTTCTTATTCAATTGTTTCTTATAATTGTTATTCTACTATGATTAAGATACTCTGTTGTAATCTCTATATATATATTGAGATTAAACCTTCATCATTTAATAAAACCAATTATTATCAAATTGTATTATAGTAGAACTACGGTCTCTCTCTTAAAGGTAAAACCTAGCTCTTTTTTTTTCGAACGTGCACCACCGCCGACCGTCGTCATCATCGGTGGTCGACCGCCATAGGTTGTGGCCTCGTCGTCACTTATCCCTCGTTTCTCTCTAAAAAGCTTATGAGTGCGCATAACGGTCGTCGTTCCTTATCCACTATCTCCTAAAAAAGATATTTATAGCATGCTCGAAAAAAACTGGGAAATTATATTTGTTTGTGTTTTATTTCTAGAGCTCGATAGCATGGAAAACGATAAAGAAGCAAAAACGTCCCAAAAGGACAGAAAAAGGAACTCGGTTCCCTCGCTCTAATCGCCAACTCTCTTTTCGAAAAAAATCTCAGCTAACACACTCTCAAGTTTGTTCGTGTTGGGAAATTGATTAAATATTCAAAAGGGAACAAAGAAAAAGAAAGGTTCAAGGTTCACAGTATGACACCTACGCATCATTGCTTAGTGGTTTCATGACTAAGAGGAATGCACTAAATAATAAAATAATATGGAGTACAAGCTCAATTTGTTGCCAGGTTCATTATACAAAGAAGATGGGTTCTTCTTGGTGATGAGGCCCCATAATTGATTGATGGGTATTGTTTTATTATGGGTGGTGTGAGTTACGAAGTATTATAAATGGGAATAGTGAGAACTTTATGAGGGTGTGGGTTTTACACACCACCAAGGTAGAGAGAGAAACATGGGAGAAATTCTACACAAGAATACCACCGGGAAAATCCAAGGGGTCTTGGTGAGTGTGGGTGAGTGTAGGGAGTAACTGGTTTTAGTTACTCGAAAATATACATCCGGGCATAGGATGTGGAAAGATCTGTTTATGAGTGTCTGAAATTTAGTCTTGTAAACAGGGGAGAGTTTTTTGTATATTGTCCTGAAATAGTGGAAATATAATTTTTTCTCTCATATATTCTTTTTGTGTTTGTTCTCTCATTTTTCTGGTGTTCTAAATATTTTTCGGTATCTTACGCGCTTAAAATCCAACAGTTCGCCATGCAACGAAAATCTTTGTCTCTACTTCTAGCGATTATCATTACAAAACCACTTCTGCCAGGTTTTTTCAATATCTATGCTCCAAGTTGTTCTTCATTACCAACAATCAGTTTGCGGATAGATATTAGAAATAAGGGGATAATAGGAAACAAGATATTATTTATTGCTTCTATAATACTGTTATTCTTCTATGGTTAGTATTCATAGTCCTTATATATGGTAATAAAAAAGTGATAAATTAAATCACAAATAGCTAGTTTATTAAGTACTTCGTATGACTTTATTGTTAATGATGGTACTATGCAAAAGAGTGTAAATGTTTGACTAAAAAGATCAAAAAATGAATATTTTTTAGGACCGAATGGAGTATCACAAACGAAGAGCCTCTCTCAGCCTCTACCAAAGCTTTAGGTCCGGCGGATGGCTAAAATAGCCGTTTAAACAAATAAAACCTATAAATCCAAACCATCTTCCTCTTTTTCTCACACATCTCTCTCTATCGATCTCTCTCTATAATTCTATCAAATATTCTTTCAAATATTTTTCTATTTATTATATTTATTTCTATAAACTATTTTAAAAATGAGATCATCTTCATCAGATGATGAAAAGAGATATATCATTTTTTACTGTTTTGCCACGACTTGTTATCAATGGTGGCAACAAGGTGAACAAGAAAAAGCAGAATCCTCCTGACGCCCGACCCGATGTCAACGTTTAAACCGGAATCGAGTGACTGCGCAAGCTTCACTTCTCAACGACTACTTCAATACTCCGTGTGTTTATTCACTGGAGGATTTTAGTAATCGTTTTCGGATGAGTCGTCTTCTCTTTTTACGCATACTCGCCGATATTGACCGCGAGGTGCCTTGGTTCACTCACCCAATGCTTTGATGCGAGAGGGAGACATAGGTTTACTTGTGCGCAGAAGTGCACTGCCGCGCTTCGTCAGATGGCGTACGAGACGGCATCTGATATGTTAGACGAATACTTGAAGATGTCGGCTCGGAGTATCAGGTCCTGTGTTAATAAATTTTCTAAAGCTATAATTCGAATTTATCATAAAAGATATTTACATAAGCCTACAACGAGTGACATTGAGCAGTTATAGAAAAAGCATGCCGCTAATCACGGCTTTGTCGACATGCTTGGGAGAATTGATTGCACGCATTAGAAATGGAAAAATTGTCTCACTGCGTGGCATGGTCAGTTCTCCCGGGGTGATCATCCCAAGCCAACTATCATACCCAAAGTTGTTGCTTCAAATGACTTGTGGTTTTGGCACGTTTTTTTCGGTGTTGCAGGCTCGAACAACGACATCCACGTTCTTGATGAATCGCCTATTTTTGACGAAGAAATCGATGAAGAAATTAAAAGAAACGAAGAAACTACCAAGAAATTCGAACTCGAGAGTTTCACAATGCACTAACGGCGGATTTGATCGAACATATCTTCAGTAAATGGATTTTGTTTTAGTCCTGAGTAATTTACTCATAAAAATATCCCATGTTTTTTTGGGTAAAAATTAACTCTTTACTTTTTTATTTTTTTCCAACTCTTTCCAGTTTCTTCCAACTTCTTCCATTTTTCATACAACAACTTGAAAAAACTGTTAATATATGATGAATATACAATATTGTTATATATCCAAGTTTATAACATACCACTTCCAATTTTTCATTTTAATATTTTTCAACTTCTTCCAATTTTTTCTAATATTCAACTTTGAAATTTCAACACAAAAAATCAGGCATCACGTAAGTTATTCAGAATATGCTTTAAATTCCTCTTAAAATAAAACAGCGGACTCTATTTTATAGACTTCTGAAATTTGCACTTTATAGGACCAAAACATAAGTAGTCATTTCCCAATATAGGACTTAAAATTTTTTATTTCCTAAATAGGACTTAATAATGACTGGTGAGAAGAATAATGTCCAAATGATGTTGGACATTTAGTTGAATAATGACTAATAGATAATGACCAATGGTCATACATTGGAAAATAAAAACATAAGGTCCTAAATTGAGAAAGTCATTATATTTTAGTCGTATTTAGGTAAATTACCCTCTAAGTTCTAATCTTAATAATTACTGTATTATATTGGCAAATAAGTATCCGTCCCCTATTTTGTGGAGTTGGCAAAAATAATTCCCATGGTCAAAACATCAGATAACAATTTATTCATTACATTAGAGAGATTATTTTTAAAGACAATAAACACAATTTTTTTACAAAATTAAAATTACAAACATAAAAGTATATGGAGTAATTCTTTAAAGAATTAAAGTACAATTAATATCGTAACGATTTATTATATTCTTGAAGAGATTTTATGATGAAAATAATTCATTTTTTTAAATCAATATTTGAGGTATTTTTGTACTACGTATTAATAATTTTTTTTACTATCTTAGTTATTATTTTTTCTATTTTGACTTTTTGTAATTAAAATTGATAAATTTTGACCATTAATTAAATAAAATTCAAATTAGATATTTGTACAATAAATTTTTTTATAGATCTATCTTGTAAAATATTTTCAAAATATAATTTTACTGTATGTAGTTATATAATTATAATTGGATTTTAAATTAATCATTTTCAAAATTGTGGACATGAATGAGAATTGAAGAAGATAAACAATGTGATGAAAATCAATGCATAGAGAAATTTACTTAAATAGCATTAAAACATAATAACTTTCCCTAAATAGCGCCACATGTGTTTTTCTTCCTTATGTAGCACTTTTAGTCATTATGCATTAGTCATTATTCAAGCAGATATTCTCCATCACTAGACATTATGGACATTATCAAATGCTATTTAGGGAATAAAATAATTTAAATGTTCTTGTGATATTTAGTGCAAATATTTCTTTAGTTACTAGCTAGTACTCTGAAATTCATAGATACACTGGGAGATATACTAGAGCAAGTTTTCAATTTCATAACAATCACAACTCAAAATATTATTTGAAGCATATAATATTAAATTTTTTCCCAGCCAACAAATAAAACATGGCGTATCATAACTGAAAGACATGCACGACTAGAAAAAACATGAATCGTATAAACGTCTAGCTACGTAGCGGATATAATCTGAAATAAAATTGTGTAATGAAAAAAAAACATCAAGACGATCGAAATTAAACAATATTATTGCACGATGACATGCTGGCTGGAAAATGCATTAATTAAGCGATACGGGCGGCAGTGGCGGCGACGCTGATGAGAGCGAAAATGAACACCGAGAAGGATGCGGGCGACGGAAGAAAAGCGCCGCCGGAATGTGAGGTCGGCGACGAGAAAGGCGACATGGCCGGCGGCGGAGCATATTGATCATGCAACGGGAGGACCTGCACTTGGAGACGCTGCCCGTCCTTGCAGTGGTCGTAGTTGCCGCTAGTGAAGTAGAAGGGGCCGCTCCTGTCCAGATAGACGGTGGTATTGCCGTCGTCCGCCGCCGAGATGGGGTGGGTTGCGTCGCAGTGGTAGTAACCCCATTTGTCCACCTCCATCACGCTGTCATTCTTGTACTCGAAACCTGGCGGCAGGCCATTATAATTTATAAATACATTAAACGCCGTCCTATTTTCATGTAATACTCAATTTGATGAATGAAGAAATAATGGAGTAACTTACGGATGGAATCGCCGACGTGAAATCTGCGGTTGGAGGACCAGTGGAGGTACATTTCGGTATGGTTTTGGTCGGGGCGGCGCCACCCCTTTGCGCCACCGACCACAAACTCTTCGCCGGCGACGACAGTTGACGCAAGAGAGCAATAGAATGCCATCATGACGAGGAGGGCGGCGGGGATGCCGCCATGATGATGAATAGTATCCTTCTTCATTTCTATCTTGTGCTGTGTTTTAGACACCAAAAATATTTCAGCAGCAATAATTCTAAAATTAAGACTATATATGCGATATCTATCTCTAAAATGACGAAGTGATGAAATGAATTGAAGTGTGTTGTGTTGTGTTGCTCGATGGGAAGAATAAATAGAGGGCGTGAACGTGGGTTGGTGGGTGGGTGCTGCATGATTATGGCGTGGCCGGACTCTACGTGGAAGTTAGAAGTTAGTGGGATCCATCCATTGTCGGGTCGTCGCCGGTTGTGGGAAGTTGAGTTACTTGAAAATACACGGTATTACTGTATTTTTTTAGAAAAATTATCAAAGAGAATAAATTCCAATTTTAAAGTTTTGAGTTGTGTTAAACTTAACGGGTAATTAACGAAAAAGATTTGTTTTCCACAACAAAATGAAAGCTAAATTTATTTTTTTATAAACTTTAGATTCAATTTTTTTGAATTTTTTACATAAATTTTTAAAATGACTCTCTAGCTACCTCCATAATATTTTTCTTCTTTAAAAAAAAATAGACATAGAAAATAGAGAAAATGAGTAAAATAACTAAAACCATACAAAATTAAAGAAATGAAAAGATAATCAATAAAAACTAACATCAAAGTGATAAGAAATAAAACGTAACTAAAAATATATAAAATGGTGGGTTCTAACGTTTCAGCTCGGGCACTAGGACTATTGATGTATTACTTCCTCCCGTTGGTAAAAACTAAAAAAAGAATAAAAAACAAGAAAAGATATTACTCCCTCCGTTTGTAAAAAGCTTCCTACTTTGACTTGGAGCCAAAATAAGGAAGTGTAAAATTATAGTTGATTTCCATTTTTGCCCCTGATGTGGTGGATAAAAATAAGATGTGATGAATAGATTATTAGACAAAAAGTATGATGTGATAGGTAAGGTATGAAAAAGTAAGGGTAAAAGTGGTTTTGTTAGAAGTGAAAAAAATGAAAGACGAAATGTTTTTTAGAAAAGAGAGAGTAATTTTTTATTAACACCCTAAAAACAAGAGATAAAAGTAACAAATAAGAAATAAAAAAATTGCTTTCTTTCTTCAATGTAATTTCATTTTATTTATTTCTTAGAAATAAATTTTTTTAATTCTTTAGGGTTTTTATAAGAAGATAATTTCTTTCTTTCTTATTTTTCGTATGTTCATTTTAGAGAAATACGAAGTAGTACATTAATACTTCTTAAAGTGCTTAAAATGTTGGAACCCGCCATTGCTTATATTTTTATTTCTTACCAGTTTGAGGTTTGTTTTTAGAAAAATTTACACTAATAAATAGGACTAAAACATAAGTCATTTCTCAATATATGACTTAAAATTTTTTATTCTTTAAATAAGACTCAATAATGTCTAGAGAAAGAAATAATGTCCAGTGATGGAAGACATTTACTTGAATAATGACTAATTAATAATGACCAAAGGTCCTATATTGAAAAATTAAAAAAAATGGTCCTATATTGAAAAAGTCATTATGTCTTAGTCCTTTTTAGGTAAATTATTCTAAAAATTATTCTAAAACTATATTTAGCTAGTTTTTATTGATTATTGATACTTTCATTGGTCCAAAACGTGGAATCGCCCACCCCAGGCGCCCCCACCCCCTAGCCCGACAGGAATGATGGAGGAAGTAAATCATGGTGACTCAGTCGGCCAAGAACACTAGACCCGTGCTCACTGTGCTCAAGGAGCCTCCTCACCCTTTATGGGATTTATGGGATTATTGATACTTTTATTCATTGCTTTAGTTTTGTATCATTGTAATTGTTTTTCTCATTTTCATTTTTTTTATATCTATTTTCATTTTTCTGAGGTAAGACTAATCTTTTAAAAAGGAAAAAGAAACAATGTAGGTAGAAAGTATTTTAGACCGGTCTCCGGTCTAAAGATTTTAGATCGGTAAAATTCCGGTCCAAGACTGGATAATTTTCGGGTCGGACTGGTAAGACCGGATTATCTTTTTTTAAAAAAAAATTACGGAGTAATACCTATGATACAGAGTTTACATATAATTATAAATACAATTGTATATTTTCATTTGTTCTTCTTACTTTAATATGAAGTATAATTTTTTAAATGTAATTTGTATTTTTTAATTTATTTCATTGACCTTTACCCAAGAATATCCATAATTATAAAAAACTAAAATTATTTCCCAAAAATTGTAGTAGAATCTTTCGATTTAAAGTATTAAATACTTTGACGTATAAATTAGACTTGCTAAAACCAAAGTAATTTAAAGTAAAACTTTATAATATTTTTGAAATTTCAAAACTAACGGAAGTATAAAAATCATTTTACACCTATTATATTGTTGATAAAAATATTTTATATTAATATAATTTCTTGAAACACACCCAATTTATATAAAAATTAAATGTAGGGTTGAAATCAATTCAAATCAAGCTACAAATTTGAAAAACAAGTTTTAAAAATAGACAAAAAGAAATAGAAAAAATAAAATTTGGGTTTTCCAGTTTTTACCTGGACTGGACCGGACCGGAAAAAACCGGTCTGGACCCGTCCGGACCAGAATCTAACCGATCCGGTTTCCGGTCCTATGCTTTAGGGTATTCTGGGTTTCCGATTTTTCCGGTTCCGGTCCGGTTCTGGACCGGTGTACACCCCTAGTTATGACAACTATATACGGAGTATTTAATAATGATATAAATTTAATATAATTAAATTAATTTTAAAATTTAGTTTTGATCTATCAAATTTTTATCACGTCTACTAATACTGTTTGGATTTAAATTGGAAATACATAATAATACTTACATTTCTATTACTGTTTGGATTTAAAATGGATATACACTGTTCCCGTGCATCGCACGGGTGAAATACTAGTATCTTTATGTTTCTAAACGGAATGAAAAAATAAGGATTCATATAGTGTTACGCTCCAATTGAATACAACTTGGTAAGAATTGAGTGAAATTAAGTAAAATTAAGTGAATGTTAATCATATTAATCCTAAATTTAATAGAACTGAATGAGATTGATACAATTAACTGCAAATTTTATATATTATCTGACTGTATTTGGTTGAAATTATATAAAATTAAATTTCATAGAGTCAAAAATAATTAATTTTTCACTTAAATTTAGTGGTGTAGATCAAATTTGAAAATGATAACACTAAACGCTGTCGCTAGAAATCTTTTTCAAAACGATAATGCTAACCACTAATATTATTGAGTAATAATATCTAGTGAATTGGTTGAAACTAATCAAATTAACTCTCAAACCAATAAATTTATTGTAATTGAATGATAAAATTTAGTTTTCCAAAAAAGTTATTTTTTTTCATTGGCTATTTGATACTATCACAAAAAATATCACACTACACTATTAAAAAAATTACAAAAAAGTTATTTTTTGTGCGTTTTCATTGGCTATTTGATAAAATAAACTATTATTCTTGTAACCTCTTATTTTTCAAAACTTTTGAAGTATTTCTTTAAATATGTTAACTTTTTTTTCTATACCAAATTTTAAAGTTTAAATAAAATAATTTTTAAAAACTTAAAAATTTGCACTGTTTTGCGTTATGTAGCATTCTTTCTGAGATGGGGAGAAGTTTTTTTAAATAAGATTATTTTAATTAGATTTTATAACTTAAAATTGAAATTAGTAGTGTATTTTTAACATAAAATCAAATCAAAGACTTGATTTTCATGTCTAATCTCTCCCTAAAGCTCAAAATTTTTCCTCATTCCTTTTCACTTTACTACTTTAATTTCATCACTTTTTTTACCCTACCATTCTACTCATTCTCAATTCCATTCACATTTAACATTCAGGGGATATGATTGAATTGGTTTCGGATCTAATTTGTTTCGTATTTATGTCAGATATGAATTATTTAGTCTGGTCTCGATTTGATTCGGATCATTTCAAATTTTCGATTGTAGATCGGATCTTCATTTTTCGGATCATTTCAATTTCAAACAATTCGATTCAGATAATCGGTTACATCTCTGTTTTCTAAGGTCTAGCTAATAATGCTACACAAGTTTACATGCTCACTTAAGTTTTAAATAAAAGTTTGCAAAATGGCCCCATGTAACTTCCTTTCCATTTGCTTACGAGTGGCTCAAGAGTAATTACTTTTATAATTTTCACATAGTATTAATTTAGAAGTATTAATCACATTATTAACATTTTAAAAAAGTGCATTTTGAGGCTTTATTTAAAAAATTTCAAGGAATATACAGTAATGTACCAGAAGAAACAGCACCTCCTCTACGCCCCAAATAAAAAAAGGTTTTAAAGAAATATTTGGTGGGCTTTTGGAAAAAAGGTAAGCGTGGTCAGCCTTGACGAGTTCAGGTGGTACAACTGTAAGCTCGCACAACGAACTTGCTAGTTGCTATGTACCAATGAGTGCCATGCTATTACGGTGACGACGATGACATGGAGTTTGATGTCCTTGCATGGTTTAAGCAGAACGAACACATGTTCCCATGTCTCAGAATGCTAGCGAGACAAGTTTTATCCGTCCTGGTATCAACCGTAGATGTGGAACAAGAATTCAGCTCTAGCGGCAACATTCTAACCGACTACCAAAGTTGTCTTAGCGCTGAATCTCTTGAAACATGCACTTGTTTGCAACCGAGATTGGCTCTTAGGAAGACGTCGATCTCAAGAGTCAGGGTACAAAGGGTACAAATTCAATTCTGAACATTACATGAACATTACATGAATGCAATCACAGATGGAAGCCTTAGTTCTGAGGAATAAGTTATAAACTTCTTTTTTATGTTAATGTAAATATGTACTCCGTAATTAGTTTTTTTAGGTGAGCGATATATAAGCTTCTTCGAGGATTTCATTATGGTTATTTATCTCGTCACTTTTTTTGAACTGTCGAGATATTAAATGTAGTTGTTCGTGTATTACTCATTTTACAATATTTAAATAATAACTACTCCCTACGTCCCCAAATAAACTTCCTCTTTCGTTTTTTCTTTGTCCCCAAATAAACTTCTTTTTTCCCTTAAAAAACTTTTTTTACCCCTTATTTTTTCATACCCTACCTATCACATCATACTTTTTTACTAATAAGCTACATATCACATCTTATTTTTACACATTACATCAAGGGTATTATTGGAAAGTTAACACAATTATCTTTCCCTTAAATTCTCAAAAAGTCAAAAAAAAAGTTTATTTCGGGACGGAGGGAATACATTTTTAGATTTTTCTTTAACAATAATTGGTATAGGCCATGGGGTGGCCTGGTTTCCGGTACTGATTCCCTCTCCACACCCGGGTACCGGAACCGCGGGTCTTTTGGAACCGGGCAACTAATATCGCGTCTATCCCTACTGGCTACTGCACAAGAATGAAGAAACTAGTGACTGAAAAATGGCCATGTAGGCGCGATTGACCATTTTCTCACCACATAACCCGAAAATACAGAGCCGCAGTTATCCATTCATAACCCACCCACAAAATTCAAATTGATCCATAACCCAATACACTCAACAACCCATGAACGTGAAAATGGCGGTGTGTTTTTCAATGGCTCTGGTTCTCTCAACAGTGGAAGCAATAAGTCATCAGTACCCGGTGGTTCTAATACCCGGAAGCGGCGGCAACCAGCTGGAAGCCCGGCTGACGCCGGAGTACAGATCCTCAAGCTTGGTGTGCAACCGGTGGTACCCTCCGAACAAGGACGTGGGTGGGTGGTTCAGGCTGTGGTTCGACCCGACCGTGCTGTTCGGGCCCTTCACCGTATGCTTCAACGAGAGGATGATGACTATTTATGATCCAGAGACGGATGATTACCACAATGCCCCTGGTGTTGAGACTAGAATCCCTCATTTTGGGTCAACTGAATCCCTGCTTTATTTGAATCCCAACTTCAAGTGAGTCAGATCTCTACGCTTATGATTTCCTGTTTATTGGCTAATTTCTTATTGTAAATACTACTCCGATCCGGACGTGATACACTCACAACCAATACCGAATAGTTGATCATTACCATTTGCTAACAATCATTTTTAGCATTTGAGCTATTATTAAATGAAGAGGAGTAATTTTACACAATTTGTTTGTGTAAGATTCTTAGACCAATTCAATTGGAGCACATATGGTGTTCCGATCGTGAATTTGGTCGTTTTTACCCTTAAAACCCGATAGACCCCCAAGCCCACATTGTCCCAAACACAATGGCGGAGCTAGGATCCAACAGTAGTGGGTGCAAAATAGAGAAAGATATCCGTGTCTAGCAGTTGCTGGAGACATTTAAATAAAAATAAATCTCACAAGTATTTTGTCAAAAACATGGTGTACAATAACATATATTGATAGAAAGAAATAAAGACCATACTTGACAAATGTCACAAGTAGAAACTTTGTCAAAGAAGATGTGCAGAATTGAAGAAGCCCATCACACTAAATATTCATCATCATCACCAACTTCTTCTTATTCGATATGGAGCAATATATAGTATTAAAAAATTGAGTTGGGAGTGACTGCAATTGCCGTCATTTGCTCTCACTTGGCTCCGCCCCTGCCCGAATGCTACCCTAGCACCTCGGCCAATTTCATTACAACAAATTTTATTGACTTTCAGGTCAAATTATTTACCAAAATTTAGTATAGTGAAATTGGAGGGGGTGCTAGTGTGTGTTGGGGACCCGGCGGGTTAGGGGGTTTACCGGGGGTTAGTAAGGAGGTAGCAACAATTAATTTTAGGATTAGAGCACTTTACGTTCTTCAATTGACTTGGGGTAACATCCTTACACCAATAAATTAGTATAAAATTACCCTCCCCCTCTCTCTTAAATAAAATGTACTTCGTATATGGCATTTTCTTCTCGTTTTTTATCCATCCAATTAACATTTTTTTCTCTTCTTCTTTTTCTACATTTTCTTTTCTCCCATTTTCTTCCCAATCCAAACATAGTTAGGCCCCGTTTGATACACGAAATTCAAATTATGAAATTGGAATTAAGGACTTTAATTTCAATTCTGGTGTTTGGTAGCACAAATATTTTGTAGATTTAGAATTGATAGTGTAAAAAATGAATTGAAATTGGTGAATTCAATCTTATAGAATTGAATTCCATGGAATTTCAATTCTAATTCAATTCCAATTCCATCAATTCCGTATACCAAACGGACCATTAGGGTTACTTTGCAACCTGAAAAAGTTAGAGGGCCTTCATCTCGCAGAAAATCAGCATGTACATCTATTTTTACAAATGGAAAAAGATAAAGGGTCATTTTTGATCCTTTACCCTTAAAACACAATTTTAAGTGTTTTCTAATTAGCTTTAGATTATGGATTGTGATTTCAGAAGTATAAATCGTACTCTAGAAGTGATTTTCACCAAAGCTTGGAATAACTGCTTTCTACTTCTGATTTAGCACATGTTCTTTTTTCAAGGTTACTGCACTCACAAACACTCTCTTGGTATAACTATGCTCGCTTCTAATTTGCAGGAAAATCACATCATACATGGAACCTTTGGTAAAGTCTCTAGAAAAGATAGGGTACATAGATGGCAAGAACCTCGTCGGCGCCCCATACGACTTCCGGTACGGACTAGCTGCTGCAGATCACCCCTCGTACGTCGCCTCAAAGTTTCTATCAGACCTCAAAAACCTCATAGAATCAGCCAGCAATTCGAATGGAGACAAACCAGTTATCCTTCTCACGCATAGCTTGGGAGGCCTATTCGCCCTGCAGCTGCTGAACCGTACCTCAATCCCCTGGCGCAAACGGTACATCAAACACTTGGTGGCATTGTCCGCTCCCTGGGGTGGAACAGTAGATGAAATGCTGACATTCGCATCAGGGAATACACTAGGTGTCCCCTTAGTCGACCCGTTACGTGTAAGGCAAGAACAAAGGAGTAGTTCAAGTAACATGTGGCTTTTGCCCTCGCCCAAAGTGTTCGACGTGACCAAGCCATTGGTGGTCACACCCAAGGCCAAGTATTCAAGTTCTGATATCGCGAGGTTCCTCCAAGACATTGGGTTTCCTGAAGGAGTTCGTCCTTACAAGACGCGTGTTTTGCCTTTGCTGGAGAGCTTTCCGGCACCCTATGTCCCAGTGACGTTAATCATTGGGAGTGGGGTGAAAACGGCGGAGGAATTGATATACAAAGACTTGGACTTTGACAAGTCCCCGGAGATCAAGTATGGGGATGGCGATGGGACGGTGAACATGGTAAGCCTGTTGGCATTGGAATCAGCGTGGGGTGGCAGGGAAGATCAATTCATTAAGGTGATCAAGAACCATGGGGTGTCTCATACTGCTATACTTAGAGATGAGATTGCACTTGATAGAACTTTGGCAGAGATTTCTTCTCTTAATACTGAAATTTGTTCAAGTTCTATTCAGAGTTTTTAGGAAAGAAAATTCACATGAATAGTTGTAGAAATGTGATACTTTACGTTAAAACTTCAAAGACACGGCTGCTCCAGGGTAAATTTCACCCATGGTATACGAACTTTCATCATTATTTCACTTCGGTATATAAACTTTAATTACTTTCAGAAAAATATACGAACTTTCAACATTCTTTCACCGGTGGTCCAATAGGCGATTTCTAGGTTACCTTCAGGTCATTTGGGTCAAATTATAATTTTATAAATTTAAATTTTTTATTCTGACCCCTCCCTTTTCTCTCTTCCTCTTTCCCAGCAAGCTTTTCTTGAGAAATTTTTTCCGGCATCTAGGATTGGGTCGATTAGGAAAGAGATTTGTGGGGTTAAACAATTGAATGGGGAGAACTTTTCTGAATATTGGGAGCGTTTTAATAAGCTTGTTTGTTCTTGTCCTCAACATCAAATAACCGAGTAGTTGTTAATCCAATATTTTTATGAAGGACTTTTGCCTACCGAGAGGGACATTGTTGATGCTGCTAGCGGTGGTGCATTAGTGAACAAAACCCCCGCTCAAGCGAGGGAGCTTTTTAATACCATTGCCCAAAATACCCAACAATTTGGAACTCGTGACAATGTAGTGAGGCCGGTTAGCGAGATAGGGAATTCATCTTCTTTAGAATATAAGCTTTCTGCCTTAACTGATGCTATTTCTAAACTTGTTGTGGGTAATATAGGGGATAGTAAGGGTAAACCTTGTGGAGTGTGTTGCTTGGAAGGTCATCCCACTGATGCGTGTCCAACACTCCAAAATCCTGAAGTCAATGCTTTGTTTTTCAATAATAACAACCAAAAGAAGTATGATCCTTTTTCTAACACTTATAACGAGGGTTGGAGAGATCATCCAAATCTGCGTTATGGTCCTCCGAGAGGTAAAATCTGAATTTTTCTAATAATCCACCTCCCCAGCAAGATAGGGCAACCCAGATGTTAGAACAAGTGCTTAAAAAGATGGATGATAAATTTACTTCGGTTGACATAAGTCTTAAGCAACTTCAAGAAAGACAAACAGCCTCTGAAACTTTGATTAGTAATATGCAAGCTCAAATGAACAATAGGCTGCCATCTCAACCCTTTCCCAACCCTAAAGAGAACCTTAATGCTATAGAGTTGAGGAATAAAAAAGTGCTCAAAGAACCTAAAAGCATTAGGGAAGAGGAAAAAGAGTTAGAAGTTGAACGTAGAAGTCCAAAACAATCCTTAGAACCTGAAATTCAGCCTCTGGACTCTGAAGACCAGCCTTTAGAACCTGCAACCAGCATCTTAGATGAAGACAATGAGGCTGAAAAATCTGTGGAAAAAGGAGAAACTGACCTTAGTGATAGAAATCCAGCCCTACCACACCTTAAGGCACCCTTCCCTAGCAAATTCCTTCAACCTAGAAAGCCTAAAGAAATTGATCTTGCACTTCTTGATACTTTTAAGAAGGTAGAGATTAATTTACCTCTCTTAGAAGCTATTAAGCAAGTCCCTAAATATGCTAAGTTCCTAAAGGAGCTTTGCACCAACAAGAATAGGCTAACGGGGAATGAACGGGTAAGAATGGGTGAAAATGTCTCTGCAGTTTTTCAAAAAAAAATTCCTCCAAAATGTAAGGATCCTGGTGTTTTTACCATTCCTTGTCTTATTGGTGATTTGCACTTTCTATTAATGTAATGCCAAAAGACGTTTTTGATAAATTTAGGGACTTAGGATGTTTTATAAATTTTTAATTTGTTTTGGACCACACGATAAGTCCCCAACAATATATATATATATATATATATATATATATATATATATATATCTGTGTCTATGTATGTATGTATGGAGTTCTGGGCATTCGATTTCATGTATGTGTTGTGTTGTGCTTCTCCTTGTGATTTTGTGCAGTAGGATTTCTTGTGGCAAAAGGATGTAAGTGATTCATTGATAGACTAGTAGATTTGAATCTCGATAAAATAGAGGAGAAGAAATGTCCAGCTACGAGGGGGTTCTGGTTTCCTCCATAGAGACCTCCACTGAGAACTTGCACTAAAAATAGAAGAAGAAGAAGAAGAAGAAGAAGAAGAAGAAGAAGAAGAAGAAAGAATGGGTGCGTGGGGGGGGGGGTGGGGGGCTGGCTAGGGAAAGAGGAAGAGAGAAAAGGGAGAGCTCAAAATAAAAAATTTAAATTTATAAAATTATAATTTGACCCCAAATGACCTGAAGGTGACCTAGAAACCACCTATTAGACCACCGGTGAAAGAATGTTGAAAGTTCGTATACTTTTGTGAAAGAAATTAAAATTTATATACCAAAGTGAAATAATGATGAAAGTTCGTATACCATGGGTGAAATTTACCCGCTGCTCCGAGGAATTCCACATTTGTAAACAGATACTCCCTCGTTGCTAACGTACTTAGCTTGTTTACATACATTTTAAATGTTGACGGAGCATTTAATAAATATGAGTTTTGACTCGAAAGTCAACTAAAGTTGCACCCCACAATTGACGTGGTTGGGGTGATGAGTTGTGGTCGGGACCGGTTTGGGGGGGGGGGTTACCATAGAGTTTGAGAGGGTATGAACTATCAATTTTACGAACGGAGCACAGTAGATCTCTCAATTGGGTAAGTGACTTCCTTACCCACTTTTTTTGAGTGGCTGTAGAACCCAGCCGAATAAAAATTATAATGCCAATAATTTCACACAAAATTATCTAATTGCAACCGCATGAACGCACACAAAATTGTCTAATTGGAACTCACCATAAGTGCATGTCCGGCCTTTGAAGTTGACAACAAAAGATCTCCCATCGATTTCAATGACGAGAAACTCAAAGTTAGAGGCTGGCCGGACCTGCGTATATGTTACGGCATAAACTTATAAATTTATTCTTGAACTTGTAGAAAGTAGAAAAAAAATGTTAAAATACGGCGAACCTCCATAACGGCTAAGGAAGCGTGAAGGGCATTAAGCTTGGACTCATAGTGCTTTGATAAAGTGGATGATGTGGAATTTGCCAGCTCCCGACGTTCATGGAACCACCTTTGCATCCTTCCTAACAAAAAATCTACTACCCTTGCAATAGGATACTCACGTGGAACAGCGTCGATGCTGTTCATGGACTCTGCTAGATTCGAAGTCTTTATGGAGTAACGATTGGTTGAAAATGACCTAGCCCATTTGGCAAAGCCAATTTCATCCAAATATGGTATAATGCGGGGATCATCTTGCTCTAGGTATTGCAAATACCGGTAGCATTTCGCTTTGGATGCAGCACGTGCAGCACCATAAAACTTCCAAGACAAAGATTTTTGAGAGCCACGAAAATTGTGTTTTATGTTGCCGAAAATATGAAAAATGCAATGCCCATGACTAACACCGGGGAATACGATGTTCACCGCGCTCAATATACCTTCATGCCGATCGGATATAACATACTGAACATGACGATAATCAAGGGCTTCCTTGACCTTCGATAGAAACCAGCACCAATTCACTGTATTTTCTTTATCACAAAATCCAAACGCTAAAGGGAAAATCTGGTTATTACCGTCACGGGTGACTGCACTTAGTAGAGTTCCCTTGTAGTAGGATTTCATAAACGAACCATCAATAATCAGCACCGGAACACAGTGTTGCCACCCGTCCCTCCATGGAGACAGTGAAATAAAGAAATTTTTGAAAAGATTTCTCGGGGTCATTGAGAGTTGAATAAATGAACCCGGATTAGCCTTATTAAGCATAAAGGACAAGGACGGCAATGATGCATAAGATTCCTCTGGAGTCCTGAAACAGAGTTGAAGAGCCTTTTCTTTTGCAAACCACGCCTTTTTATATGTCATATAAATCCCATGCTCCCTTTGCATGTCTGCGATAATTGATTTGGGCGGGTAAGGCTTCTTTGTTGCATCATGAAATTGATGTTTCACCAGATCTGCGACAACATCGTACGTGGCTTGTCTTGTTTTCCCTTGACGTGCATCTATAGGGCATTGATGCTCGTGGTCGTACCTGGAAAACGAAATGCGTCGATGAATAGGATGAACTTAACGTCAGTATCTAAACGATATTTACATCAATGATTTTATATGGACATTATGCAATGCATGTATTTAACTCAAGTCAGTACAGGAGATTAAGCAATATGTCATTATGGCATAAATAAAGGCACATGCAATTTTAATTTTTTAGAGAGTATGTTAAAATAAGTAGTCATTACGTAAATGGGATGGACATTATGAGAATATAATATGTGAAAGTTAGAAAAAATATATTTGATAAATGTAAGGTCACTATGCACTGTACGTATTGAAACCGAAGTGACCGCACTATATTTAAAATGAGGTCAGTATGGAAGGAATAAAAGAAACATCTTATATAAGGACATTATGAGCGTTTAGAAAGTAGGATAGGTATGCATAAGAAATGTAAGGCCACTATGCACTACATCTATACAAATCCAAGTCAGTCCAGTAAATTAAGCATTATGTCACTATATTAAAAGTATATAAGGGCAAACGTTATTTAAGCCGACAGTATGTGAAATAAATAGCCATTATGTAAAAATGGATGGACATAATGAGTATTAAGAAAGTATGAAAATTATATGTAAATATATTAGGACATTATGCATAACAAAAATTCAAATCCAAGTCAGTAACGTTAAATAAGCATTAGGGGTTTGAGATTTAAAATAAGGACATCCGTTATACAAGCATAAGGACATTATGTTTAAGGGCGTTATGTAGTCAATATGTATTACATGCATATTAAATTTTGCAAAAAATGACCACTGCGCAGAAGTATGTAAACATTATATGTCTGGAATATAATTTTAAAAGACGAACCTGCGAACTTGAAAAATGTCCACTTTGTTATCCAAACGCACAGCCGACACCGCCCCACTACATCTTTTGTAATCCACGCATACATCTTTTCGATCTTTTTGTCCTGAACTAAAAGTAGTTGGCTATCGCCAGTCTCTTAAGATGGAAAAGAATATCCTTCTTACTCTCATAAATTGCATTCACCGCAATCGTAGTCGGATCAAACCAGGATAGAACCTTCAAATCCCTTAACATGGACATTTCCTCCGCAGACATGGGGGTACTGTGTGACATTGAACTTTCGTTGGAATGCATCAAATTGTTCTCCACCAGCGATTCCTCAGTGGATGTGTGAAACAAAGGAGATGCCCCAGAGAGTACGGAACGCTGATCGTTGTGATTACTAATCGTGCTACTTTGAGGCAATCCTAGGACATCACCACCGTGTGCGTTTGAATGGCCGGAAAGAGATGTGTCACCATCAGAAAAATTGTTCAAGTCTTATTCGGAATCAGATGGGGAATCAGGCCTAGACCATAACTCAACACACAAGGGATAATCACGAACATTGCTATGATTCAGTTTCAATCGAATGTAAGAATCAAGGGTAGAGTCATCATTAACAAAGGTACGCGGCTGTGTAGAATTGGTCGTGTATGACAATATAAATTCTGAATTTTCAGCATATGACGGAACGGTCAATCGGATTAATTGGAGAAGAGCATCATACGTAGACCCCAGAAAACATCAATTTCGTAGAACCCCTTACAGTTGAATTCCAACTTATCAGACCATACACCATCATAATTCAGGAGAACACGAACATACCTTCCCTGCGGGTTCAACGTCTAAGAAACTGATTGCAGTAAAGAAGAGAACATGATCTTCCTTCAGTCGGTGAAAGCGGTGAGAAGGGGGTACGAAAAAATGGAAAAAGAACAGAACCGCTATGCAGAAGATGACGGAAGTGCGGCTAGGGCAGAAGATGACAGACGTGCGTATAATGGGTTGTGGGGTTTTACTTCCTAATTTTTAGGAGATAATCATGGGTGATTGAGTTTTTTACATGGAAATAAAGACTAAAAAAAGGGGGGTGGGACTGGCGAGGAGGACAAATAGGTTCGACTAAATAAAATAAAGTGCCATTTAGGGATAAAAAAGATGTTGGTGCTATACACGGAAGTTGCCTATGTTTGAGTGCTATATGGAGCAAAAATTTCTTAA